CAGAAATGGAAAAAAAAAGAAAAAGAGGGGAAAAAGAAAAGAAGAAGAGGGGAAAAGAGGGAGAGGGAAAGAACAGAAGAGAAAAACAACCAATGACTTGAAAAAAATTCGGAGAAGGAATGATAGCAGAGATGAATGAAAGTTGAAAATTCATATGAAACGGCTCATTCTATAGGAAAAACGATTGAAGACGTAAGAGGATGGCCATTTCACGAAAATCGAAATGTCGCAAGATGGTAGCTTCTTGAAGGGTTCTCTTCGTCTTCGAGGTTTCAGAAGTTAACCAAATATTTCCAACAACGTAATCTCTTTTCAATCAATCATTTCAGCCAGCATGCTTCCTCAAAGCTCCGAGAGCCGCAAGAACGAGCAGCTAGTAGTATAAAAACCCTCTGATGTGGTGTGAAGGATGGAACGAACATTTCTCGGAGCTTGGTTTTACATCAAAAGGCCATTTTCAACGAGTGCCTACGGTAAATGTTCCATTTTCAATCCAATCTACCTACCATATAAGATGTTTTTTTTCTTAAAGTAGAGCTCAAAGCCGGTTCATTTCTCTCTAATCCTTTTTTTACAATTTATTAATTCTGAGTCAACAATCGAACAATAATCGGGATGTGGAACCCATGGGGACCGCGTTGCGGCCCACCAGGTGTGCAGCACGCACTACTCAGAGACTAATCGGATAAATATTATTGATTTTTAGTGTTTTGATAGATTACAAACTCATCAGTGGGGTTTCTTGAACACGAAATATATCTCAGAAAAACACATTGATTAAATTTTTGATAGATTATTAGTCCCTGATAAAGCTGATGACAAAAACCCACAGAGGTGCCGCTCGAGCCGCGGCCCGGGCGTGCACAGATAACGGCGCGTTCCGCAATCGCGGTTTAAAAAGAAAGTTGCCAAAAAACTGTCTGCGAGGTGGGAATGGTGAAATAATCGATCTCCTTTTTTAAGGGTTTATCTCTAGTTTCTATACTCTCGACAAAAAAGATTTGCATCGTACTAGTTGCTAAACGCACGTTCTTCAGCTTCGTCTATGGGAAACTTCTTAGTTCACTCGACCCGGGATTATGAAACTAGTCGTGGTTTTGTGTAATATGTGGGCTTCACTTCAAGTTATAAACATCGAAGGAGTCCTGCTTATCAGTTACATGGAGAGAAGATGAGCTCAATAATCCTGAGAAGGGTGATACTGCCAAATTGCATGCTGTTGAACGAATCCTTCTGAAATGCTATTTAACATTTCTGGCGAATAATTCTGAGGAGAGCATTGATGGAAGATGGACCGCGTTCCTGGCTCTGGTTGGAGGGCAAACCATGCTTGTCTTGAAATCCTTCCCATCAATAGTGTAGTTCCTCGCAACCGTACCGCTCAGTATTAAGATATTTAGGACCTGATACCTCATCGATTGGACGATCGAGAACGGCGACAGATCGGCTACTACCAATGGGTACCGTTCGTGTTGGCCGTGGCCGCTCTGATGTTTCACATTCCCTCGTCAGTCTGGCGAATGCTCTCAAGTCAAAGCGGTTTGTCAAAATTCATAGATTTTCTCATGCATTTTTGGATTAGCATCCGACACTTTGCCCTTTGCCGGGAATGTTCTGCCGCTCAATTCCAGGTCTCAACGCTGGCTTGGTGCTCCAGCTGGCCTGCCAGGAACAGAATGTCGACCCATTGGTTCGAAATAAGACGATCGATATTTTAGCTAGGCATATTGGTGCATTTTGATATTCAGGATTCAAATTTGAATTGTTCCTTTTTAGTGGCTCATTTGAGTCTGACTTAGTCGCGGAACTATAATACTTTCTGACACGCGATTTTTAGATGATGCTTTGATGTATCAAAGAGAGCATGGCGCACGAAAGAAGAACGTTTACATCTTTGCCGTCGTCCGAGTAGGTAAGACATTATAATCTCTAGAGGGGCTGATAGGCGTGAAGCATGCGAGCAGAGATTTTAGGATCAACTTTCAGAGATCTTTCCCATTGAGCTGGAAACTTCTTCAAGACCCTTTTAGCACCTTGCGGATTTTTGAAGTGGTGAAAGTGGAACCTGAAGCAAGTTCAATCAGCGACAACTTTTATCGCTTTCAGTCCTAAGACTGGTAAATGAGAAATGGGAATGATACTTGTGTCTAGTTGAGAAATAATTTCTATCAGCAGACCTCCAAAACTGATCATATAGGACGGATGTCAGAGTGCCACAACGCTTTCCATTATTCTAACTTCAATTCCAGACGAGTTCCTAGTTCGTACTTCAGGAAGTCGTTCTTGTCCGTTTTTTGAGGGCCTGTAGATAGGAAGAAGGTCTTCTAGTAGTTCGCTCAAGAATGTGGAGTGTTTTCAATGATAAGGCATTAATAAAATAATTGGAGGCAACGATTGTGACAGCGCCAAGAGGGGTTCAGAGAGAAGTGGTGGTGCTCAGTGGTAGGCCAGTGGTGGAAATTATTCCTATCCACAGGCTCTTTATCGTAATTGCTTCTTTTAAACTGAATGATCTCGTGAAAGTAGTAAAAGCGCTCACGCAGTTTTTTCCAGGAAAATTTTACGGTGCCTACGTGTCGACGGTGTATGTGTTCATAAAGTCGCTGCATCTGTGCAATGTAGTCCTGCAGTTTCTTCTGCTGAACTCCTTCCTCGAGACGGCCGAGTACCCACTGTTCGGCGCGCACGTTCTCTACGATCTACTGCTGGTGAGTGAAGTAATTCGTATTCAATGTATTTATTCGGCAACCTTCGTGAAAAAAAAATTGAAATATAAGACCAGCTACATACCTCAAAAACAATTCCAAAAGGGAAATTGAGCAACAACGTAATAAATATTTTAACAACATATATGCAACTGGTATAACAAGAAAAACTTATTTGCTGGAAAACTTCTCTGAGGTAACTAACTACGTCAC